TTTAACCCCTTCATTTCCCCAGAGCCTGGTTGGAGGGGGTCCCTGAGGGTGGGGGCACCCTCAGGGCACTATAGTGCCAGGAAAACGAGTATGTTAATAACTTGTGGTAAACTGTCAACATCATTGATTACCAACACCATTTCTCAAGAACCTCTTCCAGGGTGGGTTGAAGGGATATTTCGATTTATTCTAGCATGAGGGGGCAATTCTGGTAAGAGAAATTTTGTGTTACATACCTGAAAAGAGACTTGCGTCCATCAAGTTCAGCCTTCCTCACATATGTTTTTGATGTTGATCCAAGAGAAGGCAAAAAAACCTAGTCTGAAGCGCTTCCAATTTTGCAACAATCTTCTTAACCCTAAAATAGCAGTCAGATGTCTCCTTGGATCAAGCAGCTATTACCCCACTAATTAGAAATTATATCCCTGTATGTTATGTTTTTGCAAGTATTTATCCAATTGCTGTTTAAACATCTGTATGGACTCTGATAAAACCACCTCTTCAGGCAGAGAATTCCATATCCTTATTGCTCTTACTGTAAAAAAAAACCCTTTTCTTTGCCTTAGGTGAAAACTCCCTTCTTCCAGCCTAAATGCGTGACTTTGTGTCCTATGTATAGCCCTGTTTATGAATAGATTTCCAGATAATGGTTTGTATTGGCCCTGGATATATTTGTATAATGTTATCATATCCCCTGTGAGGCGCCGTTTTTCCAAACGAAAGAGATTTAATTCTTAACCTTTCTTCGTAACTATAAAATGCTCCATTTCTTTTATCAATTTTGTAGCTCATCTCTGCACTCTTTCTAGTGCCAGGATATCCTTCTTTAGAACAGGTGCCCAAAATAGCATAGCATTCAAGGTGTGGTCTTACAAGTGATTTATAAAGAGGCAAAATTATATTTTCATCCTGAGAATTTATGCCCCTATTTATACATGACAAAACCTTACAGGCCTTAGCAACTGCAGATTGACATTGCATATTGCTGCCTAATTTGTTGTCTATAACAATTCCCAAATCCTTCTCGTGTGTGGTTATCCCTAATTCACTACCATTTAGGGTGTAAGTTGCTTGTGCATTCTTGACCCTGAAGTGCATAACTTTGCATTTCTCTATGTTAAATTTCATCTGCCATTTTAGTGCCCAGTCCCCCAATCTATCCAAATTCCTCTGCAGCAAAGCAATATCCTGCTCACATTTTATTACTTTACAAAGTTTTGTATCATCTGCAAACACTGATACATGGCTTTCAATGCCTATTTCAAGATCATTTATAAATATGTTAAATAGAAGTGGTCCCAAAACAGAACCCTGAGGGACACCACTTACCACTTTTGTCCAGCTTGAAAATGTACCATTAATTACAACTCGTTGTACTCTATCCTTAAGCCAATGTTCTACCCAAGAACAAGAATATTCATCTAGACCAATTTATTTTAGTTTGAAGACTTACCTATTGTGAGGAACCGTATCAAATGCCTTGGCAAAATCCAAGTAGATCACATCCACTGCAACACCCTGATCTATACTTCTACCTACTTCTTCGTAGAATGCAATTAGGTTAGTTTGACATGACCTATGTTTCATAAAACTATGTTGATTATTGCCAATAACAAAGTTCTTACCAATGAATTCCAGAATATAATCCCTTAAAGGACCTCTATAGTGCCAGGAAAACATACTCATTTTCCTGGCACTATAGTGCCCTGATAGTGCCCTCACCCTCAGGGTCCCCCTCCCGCCCGGCTCTGGGGAGAGGAAAGGGTTAAAACTTACCTTTTTTCCAGCGCCGGGCGGGGAGTTCTCCTCCTCCTCTCCTCCCCTTCGGCTGAATGCGCACGCGCGGCAGGAGCTGCGCGCGCATTCAGCCGGTCTCATAGGAAAGCATTTACAATGATTTCCTATGGACGCTTGCGTCTTCTCACTGTGATTTTCACAGTGAGAAGCACGCAAGTGCCTCTAGCGGCTGTCAATGAGACAGCCACTAGAGGATTTGGAGGCTGGATTAATCCTATTATAAACATAGCAGTTTCTCTGAAACTGTTATGTTTATTAAAAAAAGGGTTAACCCTAGCTGGACCTGGCACCAAAACCACTTAATTAAGCTGAAGTGGTCTGGGTGCCTAGAGTGGTCCTTTAATAGTCCTTCAAATATTTTCCCAGTCACGGAAGTTAAGCTCACAGGTCTATAATTTCCAGACAAGGATTTTGAACCCTTTTAAAATATAGGAACGTCATCTGCCTTCCTCCAATCCTCCAGTACAATACCTGAAACAAAAGAATCTTTAATTCAATACAGAGGTTCACTTATTTCTCCACTTAGCTCCTTAACTACTCATGGGTGAATACCGTCAGGCCCTGGAGCTCTATTTACAATAATTTTCTTTAACTGCTGTAGCACCTTGTTTGGAGTCATCCAATCACAAGTTATCTGCAAGTTTTTTGCAGCAATCATTTGCATATCTCTTGCCATAGGATCCTCATTAATATATACTGAAGAAAAATAGTTATTTAAAATTTCTGCCTTTTCCTGGTCTTCGTTAGCTAACAGACCCGTCTCTGTTTCCAGTGTACCTACACTTTCATTTTTTGTTTTTTTATAATTGATCTATTTGAGAACAATTTTGGGATTGCTTTGCCTTCTGTGGCAATCAGTTTCTCATTTTCTAATTTAGCCACTTTAATTGCCTTTTTGCAGCATTATTGGCTTCCTTATATCTCATATAGGATGCCTCTGATTTGTCCGATTTAAATGCCCTTTTATTATTTTTAATCTCTTGTTTTACTTCTCTACTAAGCAACATTGGTTTCAAATTGTTTCTTTTATATTTATTACCCAATGGTACATACTGAGAAATATACCTTTCTAATATTTGTTTGAATAGTTTCCATTTATCCTCAGTTTTTTTTCACTAAGGCGTTTATGCCAGTCGTATGTTGTAGAGCTGCCATAATCTTATTGAAATTGGCTTTATTTAAATTATACTTTTTAGTATACCTCATGTGCTTTTGCTTTTTTTGAGTTTATTTAAAAAATTACCATGTTGTGATCACTATTTCCCAAATGCTCCCCTACTTGAATGTTGGTCAAAGATCAACATTGTTATAACGAGATCCAGACAAGCATCCTTTCTAGTTGGTGCTTGTACTAGTTGTGACATGAAGGTGTCATTTAACACATTCAAAAACCTGATTCCTCTTGCTGAAGTACTAGTCACTCTATCCCAATTTATGTCAGGGTAATTAAAATCTCCAATAATTAACATGTTACCCCGATTTGCAGCTTCCCCAATTTGCTCTAACAGCTGTTCTACCTCATTAATATCTACATTAGGTGGTTTATAACATATACCAACCAATAATTGAATTCCCTTTGTTTTCCCCTAGCAGATATCTACTCATAAAGCTTCCACATTTTCCTTGTCACACTCCACATGCCCAAGATTTGACTTTAACTCATGGTTGACATCCAAACATACCCCACAACCCTTCTTGTTTTTCCTATCCTTCCTAAATAACGTGTACCCATTTAAGTTAACTGCCCAGTCATGTGTCTCATGCCATCATGTTTCTGTTATGCCTATTATTTCACATTGTTTAGTGTATGCTATTGACTCTAGTTCCCCCATTTTGTTATATAGGCTCCTTGCATTAGTAAGCATAGATTTAATATTATCATGAGTCATTTGTACTTTTTGTGAATTTTCATCAATATTACATACCTACTCCCGTCCCCCTTATACTGAGCTAAAGCCCATCTCCTTTCTATCCTATCTCCATTTTCTAGATTGCTTTGACCCTCCCCCCCACTACTAGTTTAAAATCTCCTCCAACCTTCTAGCCATTATATCCCCAGCACAGCAGACCCTCTTCCGTTTAGGTGCAATCCATCACGACCATACAGGTTGTACTCAAGCACAAAATCGGCCCAGTGCTCTAAACTCAAAACCCTCTTTCCTGCACCAAGACTTCACCCACACATTGACCTCTCTAATCTCCTGCTGCCTTTCTGCGTGTGGCACAGGTAATATTTCTGAACATATTACCTTGGAGGTCTTTTTCTTTAGCTTACTTCCTAGTTCCTTGAAGTCATTCTATAGGACCTTCCATTTTCCTCTTACTTTGTCATTGGTACCAATATGGACCATGACAGCTGGGTCATCCCCAGCCCCTCCCAATAATCCCTCCACTCTGTCGGCAACATGCTGCATCCTGGAGACAGCAATCTGTCCGGTTGAGACGATCAGAGTGGCAGATTACCCTATCTACTCTCTTAATAATAGAGTCCCCTACCACCACAACCTGTCTAGACCTCCTTACCCTCTCAACGCCACCCGTACTAGAGGGGCTGTTAGAAGGAACACCTTCCTGCAGTACAGCTACTCCTAAGCTAATGCTACCAACAACTTCACTCAAACGGGAAAATCTGTTAGACTGCACAAGATCAGGACTAGCTAAACCGTTCCTCTTCCCTCCCCCGTGCTTCCTTGCCCCACTGTTATCCAGCTATGTGCCTGCTCACCAACTGTCTCATCTCCTGCCACTCCACTACCTGCACCCACTCAACTCTCAAGATTGCCAATCAATTTGTTGCAATTTGCCTCTCAAGATCTCCAATCTGAGCTTCCAGAAAAGCCACTTGCTCACACCCACCACAGAGGTATGGACCCCAGACAGATTTATCCAGGTGTGCATACATGCAGCAGGATGCGCACTGAGTAAAACTCGCAATCTTGCTAGCACTCATCCCCAGTTACCAAAAGCACAAGTGAGCAAAACAATATTTACTATTTGGTTTGAACTTGCTTATAGTTTAAGCTCCTGTTTCAACTCCTACTTAAAATAGACTACTTTCAAGCAAACTCTGTGAGTCAGTAGTGGGTTTATATTGGTAATACAAATCCCACACTGGTGGAAATTAAGGGGCACTCCCCCTAATTAGTTCAGCAGCAGCAGCCACAAGGAGGGGAATATAAACAGCACGAGAAAAAAAGAGGGAAAACGTTTTAACCCCTTAAGGACACACGACATGCGTGACATGTCATGATTCCCTTTTATTCCAGAAGTTTGGTCCTTAAGGGGTTAAATAAAAACAGCAAAGAAATAAAAATATATATAAGAAAAATAATATTTGTGATGAAGCTTTTCTACTGTCTTCTGCATATCGTTCTCGTACACCATTTTGTGACTCTCTTTCTATCCTTAGCAGACTCACAATACCCCCCCGACTTTTGCCATTCAGAGGTGTATTAGGAGTGTAATTATTTACCCTGTGGAATTTCAACAAATTACTAACACTACAAATTAAATGTGTATTATATCTCCCAATATTGGATCTGGAACCAGGGTGAGCTGGTCACAAAGAGGTGACAATGAGGGGCAGGCCTAAAGAGGAAAAAGGGTGCATGCTAGCAAGTAGACATACGTGCCAGAGGGACACAGAGACTTTTGCTTGACCAAGTATTGCCATGTGCAGGGTGCTTCTGAAGCGCTATAGGTATGTTCTGATTGCTGAGATGTAGCATAGAACACATGAGGTGGATCACAACATTCTTTTTGAGACTGATGTTGTTATGGTAGACTATGGACAGTGCAATGATCATAATGGTAACCATTCTCTAACCCATTTTTCTTACTTATTTTTTTTTTATGTTAAACTGTGTCTACAGATAAAAACTATATTTTATGCTGCACTACTTTAAGTCCTGGAGAGTTGGTGTTTTTCATTTTATGCTTGTGCTCGATGCCCTAAAAACACTGAGCATATCATTTGCTGGGGACAGTTTCCTGTTGTCCCAAGTTGGCAGGACACCAGAGAACAAATCTGGAATGACGGGACAAGGGCTAGAAACTCGGATTGTTCTTGGTGTATGATTTCTCTGCTTACTGCTGTTTATTTTGAAACTGTTTCAAAATACTTAATTTTTTATTGTTTTGTACAAAAGCACTATGATCTATTTCAGTGGTCCCAAACCCAGTCCTCATGGACCACCAACAGTCCAGGTTTTGTCAGTATCTCCATTTGAATAAAAAAGGTAAATACATAAATCTTGGATTGTTGGTGGGCCATGAGAACTGAGTTAGGAACCAGTGATCTATTTTATTAAGATTTACAGTAAATTTATCAGTTCTGATTGTGATCTTTAACTGAATTCATGGCTTTGACAGGTAACTGTTACTAAGGATATTGCGTGTCTACAAAATGTTTGTTTTACGGAATTTATTTTCTATGTAATGTAAAGATAATCTAGAAGCAGTCTACGTAGGTTTTTAATTTAATAATTTGGTTTATAATTTGTCCTGTTAAACAATATTATTGGCAGGTGGTGGTGAATCACTTGTGATTAACAGCCAGTTACATTTGGAGTCTGTTCTCTAAACAGTGAGAGAGGAGGTGACCTAATGATTCATCTAATCATGCAACCAAGAGGTTTGAATGTTGACTTCGATTTAATGTGTTTTTTTATAATTTGGTTTGTCTTCTGTCACCTCTATTTATTCCCACTATTGTTCACCTTCATATTTGATCAATTTTAGCCTTTTTCACTTGTTTTATCTAAATATTTTTCACGTTTCCTATAAATCTTTTTTGATAGATTATTTTATATATGCCTATTTTTGTATCATATATTCTTATTCATATTCTGTGGTGAATTATTCTTTATGGTATATTTCCTATAATTTATTTAAGTGCACTAGTTATTCCCCTTACAATATTTGTTTTTATGCCATATTATGGACATTATGGACTTTTATGCTCATCTACGAGCGATGAAACCACACTGGCGTGGCATTACGTCCGGACATGATATGACATTGAGGCTTGACCGGCAAACCCAGAAGCGCTTGGATGATGAACGAGGAAGTGCTCCACTTGCGGATCGGTCTAAGGAAATTGATGCCAATTTTCCACAGGTTTAAAAGCAGATCACCGGACTTATACCAGTATGCTGTGGGAAGGAAAGGACTTTTGTTTCGTGCCCCTAAAGAAGTTCTTGCCATATTGGACGAAACGCATAGGGCTTCTTTTAATAGAGTTTCTTCCTTACTGTTTTTTATTTTTACACTTCACTCACCTTCTGTTCCTGGTTGTTTATCCCATCCTGCACTTGGATCCAAGGACTGAAAATTACAATCTCCTCAACAGATTGTGATGTGCCTGTGTACTACTTTTATCTTGTATGTGTATCTTGTAATAAAGAAGTGTCTTTTATTGACAAACTCTGCACTATCATTTCCTTTCCTTACATGAACTGATGTCCTATATGTCCTGAGTTTGTTTCAAGACTCCTTAATTGATATGCCTTCAATCAATCTGGGTTTGTGACTGAATTTCATTCCTCTTCATATTCCATTTAATATTTGCCATATTGTCCTATGTATTTCTGTTATTATTGTATTGTAGATAACCTGTTGGTATTTTGCTACTCTAAAAAGTGAGTTGTATTAATGAAAACAAATAGCTAAAAGAGCTAGAAAATTATTGCAACTCTGCAAATTTTCATTTTATTTTCTCTAACTTGCTTATTAGCCTTTTTCAGAAGAAATTAATCAGTAGATATTTTATATCAGCATTTTCAGACCTACACAAACACAATTAGACTTTCTGATATGAATATATATATAGTTTATGCCACAGAATACTTTTTTTGTAAAATCAAATTTTAAAAAGATATAATTTAAAGATCAATTTCCAATTTGTTATCATAAATCATCTGTGATCTGCTCAGGCTATCTCAGATCCAGCCAGACTATTGCTTTGGGACTTACATGCTGCCATCCAGAGTTATTTCTGAGACATCAGAGAACTATTATGAAGACATCATAGAAATTTAGGAGCAAAACTAATGTCAAATATGATTTAAACAAATGTCATTGCATATGTGTGACAACAGTCCTGGATGGGGCATCCAAGGGCACTTCACATGTACAAAGCTGTCAGGTTGGGGAAAAAACATTTCAACACTAGAACACACGCTCATCATAATCACTGCATGTAAATGCTGTGGGACCAATAGTGGCTGTCAGTTGAATGTAAACCCTGTAGAATATGGTTGAAAATAGATTCTGATGAGGAACTCCAGAGTACATGGAAGGAACCTGTGAGATCTAATAAAAAAGTGCAATGATGTTCCCCAATTATTTGGCTAATGCACAAGGTTATTTTAGATCATTGGATCCAAAACCTTTTTGTACATTCTTGCTGCACATTATGATATTGACATTGGGCATTGTATATTTTGTTAAATTAAAAGGAACATCATATATTTCAAAATAAACATATAATGTTTAAATTGAGGCGTGTTCCTTACTGTGTTTATATGCAGTACCCCCCTGCATGTTTAGGAAAATAAGTGAGAAAAAAACAATTAAACTAATCTGTAGATCAGTTCTGGGACAGTCACTTCTTCTGTGAGACCATGAGTTTTAGAGAAACATTGAGTACACATGGCGCATGCACTGAAATTGCTGTACTCTACCAGTCTAATGCTTTTATTGAGAACCATTACATCCAGTGCTCCTCTACAAGAAACACTGGATTCGTTCGGCGTTATCATGCTGTAAAGCCATCATCCAAGATCCAAGGAGGAAGAGTTTCTAGTGGCTGTCTGTCTAATAGGCATTAGTGGTATATTTTAGGCAACATGGAAACAATGTAATTTTTCTGAAATGGCAATATTTTACATTGACAAAGAAAAGGGGCAGTATCTATGCACCAAAATCACTACATTAAAATATAGTACAGTGGGACCTCGATTTACAAACGACTCAGTTAACATAATTTTCGGTTTACAAATGAAAATCCATTGAAAGTAATGCCTAGGGTTTACAAATTTTTTTCGCAAAACAAATCAAGTTTCCCTAGGATGCATTGCACCTGGGAGGTTTATAGCACTGCCTCCTGCATGCTGGAGCCGGTGGGTAGCACGTGGCGTAGAGTGTGGAGGTGTTGGAGCAGCTTTTGCATCCAGTTTTGGAGCCATTCTGGAAATTGTTTGCAGTTGTTTTGGGACTTTTTGGTGAATTTCTCCAGCTGTGGAAAGGTAGGGAGCTGAGCTTATTCATTTGTATGCCTTTTATTGTGTGTTCTGCATTGTGGGTTACTTTTCATGCCAGCTCATTTTGACTTTTTTTCTGGGAAGTCACATTTCGGTTTACAAATTTTTCGCAATAAGAAACGTTCTGAAGAACGCATTAAATTCATAAACCGAGATCCCACTGTATTAAGATATAGTGGTTATGGTACTTAGAGTGTCCCTTTAAATCTTATAAAATATTACACTACAATGCTCAAGATATATAAACCGACAGGAGTAAAAACATATAGCACTAGAAAGATAGGCCACTAATCTAAAAACACTATGCTGTATATGCAGTTAATGTGTTAACACATTTCTCTATCATTCAACACTTCATTTATTACATTCACTCTGTTTTACTTTACGTTTGTTTCTTTTTATTTTCTGATGTTTTGTACAATGTATTTCTAAGGCAAAGTAAATACATGCATTCTTCTCTGCAAGTCCGTGATAATGGCTCTAGGAAATATAAGATATAAAAATAGCATTGAAACTCCGGAGAGTCAATCAGGGTCTCGTTGCTAGTGACTTTACACTTTATGTTTTTAACATTCTTTTGTTCGCGGGAATTAGACTCCAAATTCCTCCAACTGCAGCGTAATGTACAGTCTTTGCACAATGAAGGACAAATACACTTCTGTTCTGCCCTTAACTTGAACCTTTTTCTACTCTTTTATTTGGAACATGGGCAATGCATATATTACACAAGTCATATCTGCCAAGCCTTGCAGTTCTTCGGCACAAATACTTACATTCATATTGTTAAAGTGCCTTAATACCACACAATGCGGCTCTTAACTGAGGGTAATGCATCAATTTTACAGGAGTGTTTTCATTATTTGTTTTGCAAAGCTATTTATTTGAATGTAAAAGAGTCGCAGCACTTAACACAAATCTATTTTAATCAGCATTTTACCCTTGGGAGGGAAAGCACAATTCTGCAAATTACCATATTGTTTCTCTTCAATTCATTGCCTCTTGATAATATTTCAGGTCTGTCAGTGCCCCTTTAGCCAAATACTCCATTTATTTTTCGTTTCTGGTCAAAATGTTTTTATTTGCGCTCTCTCCATCTGAATTATTTTTCTAATTTCCATAATGAGTTTTAAAACTGGTCTTTTACTAAATAGGACCGAATAATGCATTGCAGTATACAACCCAAAGTGGAATAGGATTCGTGATCGCAGGTAATATTTTGTGATGAAGAGCACATACATCCAGATTATAAAATACTGGTCATTGAAATAATTCCCATTTGTGCTGTTTAGGTTCCATGTGATGTCATTGGCCTACGCCTTTATAAGGTCCGAGTCTCCCTAGAGTTATTCCCAGTTTGTGTGCTGTTCATTTGATTCAGGATCTGGTGTATCCTGTCTTCCTGTATTCTTATTTTGACTTAAACATAGAAACATAGAATGTAATGGCAGATAAGAATCATTCGGCCCATCTAGTCTGCCCAATATTTCAAAAAACTTTTAATTTGTCCCTGGCCTTATCTTATAGTTAGGATAGCCTAATGCCTATCCCACGCATGCTTAAACTCTTTTACTGTGTTATCCTCTACCACTTCAGCTGGAAGGCTATTCCATGCATCCACTACCCTCTCAGTAAAGTAATACTTCCTGATATTATTTTTAAACCTTTGTCCCTCTAATTTAAGACTATGTCCTCTTGTTGTGGTAGTTCTCCTTCTTTTAAATGTAGTCTCCTCCTTTACTGTGTTGATTCCCTTTATGTATTTAAATGTTTCTATCATATCCCTCCAAGCTATACATGTTAAGATCATTTAACCTTTCCTTGTTAGTTTTATCCTTGGCTTGTTTAATGGCCATCCCTTCTTTCTGCCTGTCCTGAAGTTGGCTTGTCTGACATCCTGTTTTCTGGAATCCTGGCCTTGGCATGTTTACTGGTTTTGCTTAGTTAGCTTACACCATGTTGGAATATTTCTTTCACGTTAAAGGGACACTGTAGTTCCAGGAATACAAAGCTGTATTCCTGGCACTACCAATCCCTCTACATGGTGCTGTGCTAGAGCATAATTTGGTGGCCATTGACATACCGTGTTTCCCCGAAAATAAACCCTACCCCGAAAATAAGCCCTATTCGGATTTTCGGGGTGGGCTGCAATATAAGCCCTACCCCGAAAATAAGACCTAGGCATTGCACCTTTGCGGCGAGACTTCCTTCTTCTACTGTAGGAGGAGCGTTGCGGGCCGCGGCATCGCGCAACGTGATGACGACATTTCGCAGCGCCGTCAGTCTGCCTTCACGGATCTTCAGCGGAAGGATCCATTTCCGGGCGGTGAGGCACCCAGTGGTCGGACTCGGCAAGGAATCTTTGAAATGTGAGTACCGGTAGATATTTTATGTCTGGGACTGAATTAATTAAAGGGGGCGGGGGTGAATTAATTAAAGGGGGTGAATTAAAGGGTGGGCTGGATTAATTAGAGGGGGGTGAATTAATTAAAGGGGTGGTGAATTAATTAAAGGGTGGGCTGGATTAATTAGAGGGGGGTGAATTAATTAAAGGGGGGTGAATTAATTAAAGGGTGTTAATTAAAGGGGTGAATTAATTAAAGGGTGGGCTGGATTAATTAGAGGGGGGTGAATTAATTAAAGGGGGGTGAATTAATTAAAGGGTGGACTGGATTAATTAGAGGGGGTGAATTAATTAAAGGGGTGGTGAATTAATTAAAGGGTGGGCTGGATTAATTAGAGGGGGGTGAATTAATTAAAGGGGTGGTGAATTAATTAAAGGGTGGGCTGGATTAATTAAAGGGGGGTGGATTAATTAAAGGGGGGTGGATTAATTAAAGGGGGTGGATTAATTAAAGGGTGGGCTGGATTAATTAAAGGGGGGTGGATTAATTAGAGGGGGGTGGATTAATTAAAGGGGGGTGGATTTATTAAACGGGGATGGATTTATTAAAGAGGGGGTGGATTAATTAGAGTGGGGGGGGTGGATTTATTAAAGGGAGGTGGATTAATTAGACAGTATGGTATTTTGATCCCCAGACAAGATGAGTGCAAAGAGAAAGAGCTGTACATACTGGTAACGTAAATAAATAAGCCCTACCCTGAAAATAA